GAGGGCGCCCCACAGGCCTCTCCCCTCCAGGCACTTCCCTAGGGCTCCCGCCGTCGCCTCGGCAACAGAGGGACCCCACCCTCCAGCTGGCTCTGGTGGGGGTGACAGGCGGTGTCCGGTGTCCCGGCTGCTGGGTGAGCAGGGAGATCTGGAGTCTGCCCCACTGCGGCCGGGTCAGCCTCAGCCCATCTCCTTCCACTGCTTGTAGAAGTCCAGAACGTTCTTGATGTCCACGCTGGAGTGGGCAGCGGCCTGCAGAGCCGCCTGTGGCCAGGGAAAGTGAGGGCTTGGGCGGGGTCGGACCCTCTGCCCCCCCCCCCCCGGACCGGGCCACACACACCTGCATGGGCCCGGAGAGCGCGCTGGGGTCATCCAGGGGGAGGCCTGTGACGATGGTCACCATCCCGCTCGGGTCCTCCTCCCCTGCCCCCTGGGCCAGAGTCAGCTGTCTGCAGCTGTCCAGGATCTTGTAGAGAGTCCTGGGGGCGGGGGCGGCATTAGCACGGCCTGCACAGGACAGTGGGGGCCTGGGGACCAGGAGGGCAGCAGGGCACCGGCTGAGGGAGTGGGCAACGCGCCCAAGGAAAGCATGAACAGCTCGGGGCAGAGGAGGACCGCCAGGGCCCCGCCTAGGGCTAGGGCGAGGGTGAGGTTTACCAGGCATCTGCGTCCTGCCGCTTCAGCTTGTGCCGTTCGAAGCTCTTCCCCACCTCTTTCTGGCAGCGAATGTACCTGCAGAGGAGGACAGTCAGGCCCCGGCAGGCCAGGAGGCCGGCGCTCTCGGCGGGTCACACCCATGCTCCGGTCCCTCCGGGGAGAAGGCTTCTGAAGACGGTCCACGTCCACACCCGCCGTGCGGACAGGCCGGCCTGGACACCAGGGCTCTGCGGGCGCCCCCCGCTCTGGTGCCTGGTGCTGCCGCACTCACCTGTTCCCCTTCTTAAACTCCGCCTCCAGGTAGCGGATGCCGTCCCGGGCCCCTGGGTGCTCCTTCTTCAGCAAATCCAGGCCATCGATCACTGCGGCACAAACATCGGGGCTGGCACTGCTGACCCCGCCCCTGGACACCCAGCAGAGGGGACCAAAGCCCTTGGACGGTTCCCAAGTGTGCACTCAGACCCTCCTCCCTTTCCTCCCAGTTCTGTGTGGCCAGCTTTAGTGGGGACCGTCACGCCCACTCCATGGACGAAGTCATGGGGCTCATGAACTGTGTGCCTGTAACCCGGCAGTGAACCAGGGCCTTGTGCCTGCTAGGCAAGAGCTCCACCACTGAGCCCATCCCCAGGTCTTTTTATTTTTTGAGAGGTTCTGCTAGTGACTGTTGCCCAGGCTGGCCTTGAACTTGAAATCCTCCTGCCTCAGCCTCGTAGCTGGGATTAGTGTTCACAAGTACAGCCGGTCCACATGTGGGCCCCAAGTTAAGGGTCCCACCCCTTCTGGCCGCACCCCACCTGTTCTGGCCCCACATGCCCACCTGTCCGTGGGATGAGGACAATGAAGCGGCCACTGGTGGCCAGCTGGCGGATGACAGCAAGGTGGTGGCAGAGAGCCTGGGTATCAGGGACGAGGTAGGGAGACATGGCGGACTGGGCCTTGGGCTGCTGCAGGCTGCCTTCCAGTTGAGAGACTTCAAGCTGTGAGGCGGCAGAGAGGGTGGCTGGGGGTCCTGGGCCTCTCGGCAGAGGGACAAGAGAAGCCAGGAGCTGGCAGCAGTGCAGAAGCAGTGGCCCTGACGGGGCTGCTCCTGTTGCTACGGGAGCACAGGGCGTGCACAGAATGGAGGTTGAGGAGAGGCACAGCAAGGCCGGCCTGACCGGGAGCCTGTGCCTACCTGAAGCCGCAGCTGGGCCATGTCCCGCATCAGCCGGTTCCGCCGGGCCTCCTCCTGTGCCTGCAGAGGACCAGAGTGGGGGCTGCAGAGGACCCTTCTGGGCAGGCTCGCTCCGTGGGGGCTGCTTCAGGCACACAACCTCGCCGAGGGCGTCGCCACCACAGGATGCACCGGCTGTGTCTGGCTCCCTGCTCGGCCAGGCCTCCCCTCCGGGCTGATAGCGTGTGCCCTCGCCTGTCACCAGACCTGCCAGCCCAGCCAGCCCAGCCCCGCACATCACCTGCCCGCTCCCAAGCAGCCCCTCCTCCCCTCAAAACTGCTGCTTTCTGCTGGGCGTGGTGGCTGGGCCTATACTCCCAGCACTCAGGAGGCTGAGGCAGGAGGATTGCTGCAAGTCCAAGCCGAGGCTACATAGAGAATTCCACGCCAGCCTGAACTACACAGTGAGACCCTCGAAACAAGACCCTGCTGCTTCCCTCTGAAGTCCCCTCACCTGCTGAGTGAGTCAGATGTGCAAAGTGGCCTCAGTCTGGCTGGCTCCTAAATGAGCTCAGTGTCATCATCGGCTGGGTGGGGCTTTCAAATATTAATCTCATTCTTTTTCTTTTCTCCTATTTTGAGACAGGGTCTTGCTACACAGTTCAGGCTGGTCTTGAACTCATCATGGAGCCCAAACTGGCCTTGAATTTATGGAGATCCTCCTGCCTCAGCCTCCTGAGTACTGGCATTACAGGCCTGCACCTCCATGCCCTGCAAGTTTCTCATTTTGATACTTATAATACAATTAGGCAAGACCTACTCCAAGCCCCCACAGGGTCTACACAGTAAGGGGCTATCCTTCCCAATGTGCCCAGTGCCCCCTGGAAAACTCTAGCAGAGGAGGAAGACAGGAAGTAGAGCAGAGCCCAGGACAGCCATTTCCTGACAGGCCTGAGGGTGGACTAGAAAGGAAGGGAGCGCAGGGGCAGACTTTCCTCCCCTACCCACACAAGTCGGGCTGGAGTCTGACTTTTGTGCAGACTGTTGCTATGGAAGTGTGTCTGAGACAGGGCACCATGCACGGGGTGTGGCGGGGGCGCTGAGGGTGCAGACCAGTAGCTCAGGCAGCTCCAAGCAGTCGGCCCTGCCACCCAGCAGGTGCTGAGAAGCTGGGGTCTCACACAGCACAGGAGCCAGGCTAGGGGCTTGTGGGGCAGAGCAGCCTGGCACAGACCTGCTCAGCTGGCACGAGGCCTGGTTCCAGCCCCAGCACCAGAGACCAAAAAAGAAATGAGCAGCAAAGAATTCGAGCTGGTCCAACTCTAGAGCCTTGGCCCTGTCCTATGCTGCTGACCTTGGATGTATCCCTACAGCATCCCCATGCAGCCAGGAGGCAGGCCAGGTGGCACTTGGAGGCTGAGGCAGGAATCACTGGGAGCTCAAGGCCAGCCTGGGCTACGCAGCTGCCCCATGTCAAAATGAGTCAGATCCAATCGGGATGCAAGCTCCCCCTACAGACATGTGGCAAGGGTGAAAGGCAGTCTTCACACAGAAAGGTCTGAAGAATGACAGCAGAGGGAGATGCTGCTGCCACCAGGGGAGCAGGCAGCAGGACAGGGTGGCCCGCAGCTCCCTGCTACCCGTCCCCGGGTCCCCAAAGCTTTCCGCTGAGGAAACGCCTGCAAAAACGCTGACAGGTTTTGAAGCTGCGCAACTTCCCCGTAATTATTTTTGTAACCCCCTGTGTCTTCCCCTATGGGACAGCAATAAAAGCCTCATTGTTTTTAACAAAATGTGCTTGTTTATGAGGCAGCAGGAAGGGAGTTTCTGGGGAGCTGGGCCCACTCCCAGCGTGGAGCTGCGGAGCCACACAGGGAGGAGCCTGGCTGGATGAGGGGCCCTTGGGCTGGGGAGAACTTGCGCTGTCCCTCCCACACCCAGTACCCACAACCCAAATGCGCTGGTGTGCTGGGCTCAAGACCACAGGGGTCATGGACGCTCGCTGTGCTCTAGGGTGGGGCATCTGCCCAGCACCCCACCCCACAGGGACTCGTGCACATCTGCCTCCCTTCACGAGGCCTCAAACTCACAATCCTCCTGCCTTAGCCTCCAGAATGCTAGGGGCTGTTTGTTCCCACAGAGCCATGATTTGAGTGATTTACTCAAGGTGGACCAGGGAGTCAGAGCGGGGCCTCAAGCCCCAGCCAGTTGACAGCTGTCCCAAGCCACTTCGAGCGTGAAGCACCCCTGCCACCCGCTCGTGCCAGCCCCGCCCCGGCTCACCATGCGGAACTGCGCCTGGGCCTGCTGCAGCAGGCTCTCCTGCTCCGCCTGCGCGGTGCTGACGAAGATGCCGACCTCTGGGCTGAACTGCAGGACGCTGCCTTGCAGGCGGGACACGAAGTGCCCGAAGCTGCGTATGCAGCAGATGCGCACCACCGACTGGGGGGACACAGCTGTGAGGCGCCGGGCCGCCTGCTCCCTCGCTCCTCCCGGGGAGCTGGGGAAGGGAGCAGGGCTCCAAACTGGGCTGACACTTGCCAAGCTCCTCACATAAAAACCTCACCTGGGTCCCTCAAACATAAACACCTCGGCCAAGGTGCTGCCTCTGCCACCCCCCTACCCAGCCAGTGCAGCACAGAAGGCTGGGCCCAGTGGCTGACGAAGATTCCCAGGCCTCGCTTACAGGCCCCGTCCCTTTCGGGAGGCCCGTTCTCCAGCAGACACCACGGCCGGCAGGCCCTCTGGGGGACAGGAAGCCATCCTCACCTCCTCCAAGGTGCTGAGCAGAGGCTGGTCTGTGTCCAAGTTAAAGTGCCTGTGAGCGGCCCGGAGGGGAGGCAGGTTGCGCAGTGCCATGTCCTCGGGGAGTGGCAGGCTGGAGGGCAGGTCAGGCAGTTCACAGGCTCCCAGGAGACCCTGCACCTCAGGACACAGGGCCAGGCCTGGGGCGGGGAGAAGGTGCATCAGGGAGCCCCAGCCGGGACCCGAGACCAGGCACAGGGCCGAGCTCTAGGCCCAGCTGGAAGAACGGGCAGCTCGGGCTGGGAAGTACACTGGACAGAGATGAGAGGATGGGTGCTGCGGAGGAACAGCCCCGTGTCTAGCAGGAAAGAGCCAGGTGGATGAGCTCCGGAGGTCAAAGCCAAGTCTTTTGTTTGTTTGCAAGAGGGTCTCACTATGTAGGCCAGGCTGGCCTGGAACTCATGATCCTCCTGCCTCAGCCTCCAACTGAACTCCTTTGGCCCGTGGGCAGCGGTGTGGCAGCAGGCCCCACGCTGTGCTCTGCACACCCTGCTGCCCCTGGTAGACCGGGCCTCCTGCGCACAGTGGGACTGCTGTGTGCTCAACTTACACGGCACTGGGTAACCTGCCCCAGGGCCAGGTGGCGGGAGACGGATGGGGGGCACCTCCTGGGACCCACTCACCTGACTCCTGGAGCTCAGCAGCAGCGGGCAGCAGGTTCAGCAACACGGACAGGCGGTTCCACAGACTCTGAGAGCTCTGGGAGGGGGAGGCAGCTGTGAGCCAGCACCAGTGCCAGAGAGCAGCACCGAGGGGTCTGGGCCACCCAGGGATCCTCTGCTACAGGGAAGGACTTCCTGGGTCCTGGCCCAAGAGTGGAGGAGACAGCATCTTTGCATCTCACAGAAACCTTTCTTCTCCTTCTTTTAAATTCGCAGTACTGGAGACTGAACCCCGGACCTTAGGACTAAGCTACATCTTCAACCAGTTTTTATTTTTTAAATTAAGACAGGTCCTCGCTGAGTCACTAAGCTTCCCAGGCTGGGCTTGAACTCGCAGTCCTCGTGTCTTGGCCTCCCAGAGGGCTGAGATTACAGGCCTGTGCGGAAAACTTTCCTTTCTCCCCCTCCTCCACGTTCCAGGCCCAGCCGGTTCTCCAGGGAGGTGGCCAGCATCTGCACACCTCCCAGTGACTAAGGCTGAGTGATCAGTGTCCGCCCGCAGAGGTGTGCACACGCCCCACCAGCTCCCATCTCTGCAAGGAGGCGAGAGGCGGACGTTCTTAGAAGCTGGGCGTGGTGGCACAAACTGCAGCCCCAGCACCCGGGAGGCAGGAGGATCAAAGTTGGAGACCAGACTATCCTACTTAATGAGCTCAAGGCCAGCCTGGACTACAGAGTGAGGCTGTCTTAAAAACCGGAAACAGGGCCAGAGATTTAGCTCTGCGGCACCATGCCTGCCTCTCAAGTGTAAGGCTGTGAGTTCGACCTTCAGTAACCCCCGCAAATAACAGGTTTTGGGGGAACTGAGATGAGACTCTGAACCCAAGGACGAGGAAGGAGAGAGGTGGCAGCCACGATGCACGGCCCAGGGTAGCGAGACCTACACTGTCAGCTCTTCCAGCCACTGCCCAGGCCCCCTGGGCTCCTCCACCTCTGTGCAGAGCGATTGCTGCTCCTCCCGCTACCCCCACCGCCTCCCGCACTGTGCCTATCCTCACTCACTGGCACCGCTCACAATGGCAGGCACTGTGCCCAGCACCACACTGCAAGGAGCTCTCTCACCCGGCCACGCCCGCCCAGCATTTGGCAGACCCCGAGGGGAGCCTGCGCCCTCCACCAGCAGGATGCCCGCCCGGGGAGGAGCGCGGGTGCAGGCACCTGTGCGCACACCACGATGAGGTCCGGGTTGGTCCGCAGCCAGTCCAGGAAGACCTTCACAGTGGGAAGCAGGCCCTCAGCTGTCAGGACTCGCAGCTTCTCCTGCAGGCTGCGCTCGTTCTGACAGGAGCGCCCGCTGGATTCGCTGCCCTCCGACTCGGAGCCCTCCTCAGAGGCTGGGGCAGGGAGAGCGGGGTGAATGAAAGGTGCTGGCAACAGCCTGGGCTCCCACCGCCTGACCTGACTGTCCGAGAAACGCAGGGTACAGGGTACGGGAGCAGTGGGGGCTTGGCCTCCCGGCCTACTCACTGGCTGCTCTTAAACAGAGGGCCTGCTGACTCTCAGAATGATTCTTTCAAACCCCAGCAGAGGAGCGAAGCCTCTCGGCAGCAACTCACCAGCCAGGGGGCAGCAAAGAGCCCAGCCGCGCCTGTCACCTCCCAGCTCTGCTCGGCTCAGCAGGACACTGGGCCCGCTCACTTCACCTCTCTAAGCAACAGCGCCCTCCTCCCTGCAGACGTTCAAGGGCCTCGAGCCTCCCCTGTGCCCAAGTGCTGTGTGAGTGCAGAGGGCATGGCAGCAGGCACGCACACACTGGCTGGCCGGCAGCAGCTCAGCACACACCTTGCCAGGGTGGGAAGGGCAGGGGCTGCGCAGGGTAGGCAGCCATGGGAGTCCACAAGGCAGGAGCCTGGCCCGGCCCTGGGGAGTCCCAAAGCAGATTGCTGCTGCTCTGAGCCCAAGATCCCACACATGTGCTCTGCTACCGAGGCACAGCCCCAGCCCCGAATTACTTTTAAACTAAGTCTGGGGGTAAGTGAGACTTGGCCAAGTGACAGGCTTGGGACAGGGAGGAAAAGCTATGTTCCAGACAAAAGTGGAGGTAAAAAGACAGCCTTTAGGGGAGGCGCAGTAACTTTTCCACAAGTCTCTCATGGAAGCTGGAAAAAAATAAGATCCTAGAGGAGTCTAGCCCAGTGATGGTGAACCTGTTACAGCTTTCAGTGACACACACAGCCCTCTGTGCCACGTGTGCCACAGGTTCCCATCACTGCCTGGCCTAGCTTGGCACACACGGGCCGCGAGTACCACCACGACTCGCGCTCCTCTGCCTCAGCCGGTCTTATCCCGACCCACTGCCCGAGGGGCCCCGGAGGGACCCAGGTGACACGGGGAAGCTGCAGCTGCAAATGCGCGGGGAGGACAGCCCCGAAGTGAGGACAGCATGGAGGGGGAGAGGGCAGGGCCAGGAGAGGAGCTGGAGGCCGCAAATGAGGAAGTGAACAGGGAAGGACACACTGGGAGCCACACCCGGGCCGCACACCAGCGAGGTAGCAGGCTGGAGACGCGAAGCTGCGCAGGACAGGGCTGCAGCAGGGAGGCCCAGAGGCCCAGATACCTGGTTCTGAGGGCTTGTCCGCATCCCCATTGACACAGGGCCTGCAGCCAGCCAAAGCCTGTGGGGCGGTGGGGGGCTGCAGGAGCAGGTTGCTGAAGGTGGGGGCCAGGCGGAAGCAGCGCTTGGTCTGGAACATCTGGGTGGACATGGCTTGCAGATTGCTGGCGATGCTAGCTTCGCTGGGGCCCAGAGGGCCATTGAGGGAATCGGGGGCCTCTGATCTGGCCCGAGGGGGCTCTAGGGCTGGGGACCGGGTCCCCTCCTCATCCTCCATGTCTTCCAGGTCTGACCGGGACTCCTGGCTGTTCATTTCGGAGTCTGTCTCAGCATCAAAGGCTGTGCCCCCACCTTCCAGGCTTTTGTCAGAGCCACTGTCCGAGCCTTCACTGGCCCGGGCTGAGTCACGGCTTGAGTCTGATTCAAAGCCTTCACTCAGGTCGCTGTCATCACCAGCTCTGGGCGGGTGGCGATGGCGGCGGCGGCGGAGGCAGGAGAGACGCGAGAACTTCCGGCTCTTTCTGCCCTCCCCAGTGTGGGATGCTGTGGGCGCCGGCTCGGGATCCAGTTCCTCCTCTTTCTCCAGCGGTTCCCTGGATTCTGGCTCATCTGTGGAGGGGAAGCAGAATGGGAGGTGATGCTGGAAC